TTTCATTCAGAAAGTTATCTTTTCTAATCCAGCTTTTAAAATAGATTCCATCAATTATAGTTTTAAATGAAGATGATTAACAGATTCACTTAACGTAGTTCATATGCAACTAAAAATAGAAATGAATAAATATGATCTTAAATATGAGGAGACATCTGAAATCACCATGACTTTGAAATCTAATGTATGCAATTTTGATAGGTCTACATACAAATTCTTATTTTAAGAAGGAATACAGAACTAAAACATCCTGTATGAACAATGGGCTTTCTTACTACTTTCATCTCTTTCTCATTCCCATATTTGTCTACTGTTAACTATTATTAACACAACAAAACTCCAAGTGCAGAGACTCCATTCACCTCCTTGGCCAGCTGTAGGCAAAGAACAGCTAGAAACTGCAGCCTGAGGACACAGGATTAACAATTATGGTACAAACCCTGAAAAGCAGCATGGATAGGGGCAGCTACAGCAGCAAGCAGTAACTCCCTCATGCAGCAGCAGCTGCAACTCCTACCTCAACTGAAAGGTGCAAATCCTTCTTCCTGAATCTTCCTCTGGCTACTGGTTCCTCCAGCCCTCTCCCACCCACTTAGACTCTACTGGGTTGCTGCTGCAAAACAGACTTTTATCTTTAAATATTGACACAATATCGGCAATGTAGTATATTTTGATACTCATAAGACTATATTTACTTATGATTATTTGCTAAGTGTGAAGTATCTTAAAGAACCGATGCAGCTGCTCAATCTATTAGGATGTGGCATGCTAGCCTTCAATCAGTTGAATAATACATTGCTTAAAATTTGTAATAGATCTCATAGCATGAAGAATTATAAAAGTAAGGAAAGTGTAAGTTCTTTAGTTTTCCTTAAAAATACCCAAATTTGCAGATTAATTGACAAATTACACTATTTATGTTGCACATTAAGTATCATGTTCCACACTGAATTCCAGGTGCAAATTTCTATCACTTAATTCTTTAGCATTCCTTTACAATTTTAGGTAGTAAATGTGAAAACAATTGCAAATCTTTTAAACTAGAATATTCAATTTTAAAATAAATACCATTTTAATGTATATCTGATTGACAGAAGATTCCCTTCCAATCACTACATCTCAAAAATAGAATCTTATTGCAGTCTATTTTAAATGCATCTGTTGCCTGCAGTTAGTCAACTGCCTGAAAATACGAGCCCAGCCTACTGCCAGTAAGAATGAATTTAAATAACTATTGTAAATAGAAAATTTTAAAGAGTAAGAGGAGTATCTTTTGTTGCTCAATAAGATGTTGTTTGCCTTCCGAGACGGTCCTAAGACAAGATACAGTTCAATAGCTGAAAAAAACATAGTTGAAAAACATATGAGAGAATCATGTTAGTTCTTGTTTTAAAACAGGAGTTGCCACCTTAAAAATTGCTGAATAACTCCGTTGGTAAAGGACAAGGAAAAAAAAAAGGATATAAAATATATAATAAAAACCTACTCTTGTAATTACTCTGCTTCACTGACAGGTGATAGCCTAAGCCATCCTGGAAAATGGTGATAAGTCCTAGGGTAGCTTAAAAAAACTAAAGACAAAACATAACCATCTCCCTATATTTTCCTTCCTTTCAAGGATTACTTATCACAGTGACTTTGCATTTTCCATGTTAGGCACTCTTGTGATTTAACAGTTTGATGTCTGCTGCTGAAGAAAAGATGCTCTAATAAAAGGAGGACTGATTTTCCTGTTCCCATGTCTAAATGACAAAGTAAGGCAGAAGCCTCTGCTGGTTAGTACTGACAGTCCAGCCACACTAACCTCTCTCAGAGATGCACTAATCTAACATGCGGTACATAAAGGAAAAAAATAATTTCACTTAAAATTCATACAGCCTGCTTAAAGAAAATTAATAAAATAATTCCATGAGAGTAGCCATAAGGCGCATTTTCTTGCCTTTATTTAACAACAAAATACAAAAACCTGAAATTAATGAAATTAACTGAGAGAAATAATGGAAGATCTCTTGCATGCAACCGAAAGAAACTATAAGGAATTTAACTAATATGAATTTGTAAGACTGTATTAATGATTTTCACCTTGACCACCCCCTTAAAATATCCTAATTTTGCCAATTGGATATTTTTTTTAATTGTAAAGCAGTGGTAACATTCTGCCCAAAAATTTGGGTGAGAGAACTATATTGAAGTGTAGAAGGCCACAAAACTGCCTGCAATGGCTTGTGTAACTCACTGCCTCTTCCCTGTCACATAGATGATGCAGTAGATCTGCAAGTCAGTTTGATATAGTAATCCTTTTTTTGCTTATTTCCCACATCCATGTGTACCAATTTTATGGTCTTCCTCATGGCAAAAATGGTGATGTGATGAACTATAGACCAAGTGTGTGATAAGTTGTAAGAAAATTACAGAGGGTACAAAAGGTTTCTAATTGGTTTCAGATTCCTTTCAGAAAGGTTTGTGTAGGATCCCTTTTGTTGTATATAAATTTCTGTATTGCTTAGAAAGCAAATAATATTATAAAATAGTAAATAAGGACTAAATAGCACTATGAAAGCTGCGAGGTGATACTGTAACTTCCCAGAAAATAAATTCTACCAATAAGGGGTAGACCCAGGTATCTGAGGATGTGACACATCACGCAAGGAAAGTGAGCTACAAGACCTTATTAAATAGTTGGTCAAGAAAACTATATCTCAGAGTAAGTGATGACATATTCATTCCATTTTTTAAAAAATGGCTGTAACATGCTAAACATAAATAAATCAGAATTTCACTTTAAAAAAAAACAGAAAAAAAGGGAAATAATGAAGACTCAAGGAAGTGCTAGAGTTCCTTTAAGAAAAAGACTGACTGCGGCCTGTGAAAAACTTGCAGCTTCAAACATGTGGAAAAACCTATTATAACAAAGGTCTCGATTTCTAACTAGATGAGCAGTCACCTCAGAGAGTATATCTGGAGTATGCAGAAAGCTTGTAGGGTGGAAAATGAAACTAATACGCAAGGAAAACTGTCAGATGTCAGAAAATATATGGAGAAAGTGAGAACAGAAAATGTTAGGCAGGGTCAGATCTTGCAAAATTGCAAGTACTAAAATGTACTTTCATCATCCAAATAAAAAGAAAACAGGAAAAAGAGTGGCTTCACCAAGCAGCAAAAAGCAGTTAAGATTACAGATAATTTACAGACAGTCCAAAACAAAATTAATATGGGGATGTTGACTACAGTAGCAAATGCAGTGTGGCTAATGATACAGACTGTGGAAATGAAAATTACTCATCTAAGATGAGAACAAAACAAAGACATAAAACTGTTTTTAAGGAAGTGTCTAGACCAGGAGGGCGAGACCCCATAATCTCCACTTGAGAGTACTTACAATACTTGCACATGAAAGGCCACTTTAATAACAAAGACTTTTAATGAATCTATCAGGCTAGCAATCAAATGTCTGAAAAATAAATACCTAACTTTTTTTCTTTTAAGAAAAAGGGATGTACGTGATCCAGGCAACATAAAAACAAGTGGCTCTGACCTCATGAGCTGTGCAAGGATTTGAAACAATTATGAAGCATTGCATAGCTAGAGACACTGATGTAATGAAAAATGGAATATAATGAATAACAGCTTTATCCCAAAATAGACTGTCATTATGCCAAATTAACCTGGCATCTTGCTTTATAAGATGACTGATATTTTAAGAAAAGGAACACAGGAAATCTAGCTGATATGATCATATATATTGGATACAATGCCACTTAGGAAAAAAAAATTATTCTGGATAAGGTACTCTAGAAATGTAAAAGAATCACAACTTGGTTTAAGGGTAGGAAACAACATTAGGACCAAAAGGGATATTGCTGGGATAGAAAAAGATTACTGGTGATGTTTCAAAGGATGTTTTTGGAACCAAATGTGTTTACTGATATTGATACAAAAAGTCAGACTATGCTAACAACATTTGCCAATGACGCAAACCCATAAGCCCTCAGTAGAAAGGTGAAGATGGAAAATCATACAGAATGAACTGGACTGACAGTCTGAAGGACTGAAGTAATAGAAGTGGATTGAAACTAGAAATACAAAGCACAGGGTCACACAGCAGGGACAAGGAAAGGATGCCATAGGCTAAGGCCTCCCCAGTTGGAAGCAACAAGAAGAGCCTGAGCGTATACTCATGTCAGCTGTGGAAAGATGGTGTGACTAAGTCTTTAGCTGAAAAGAGTCTGAGATGTACCTCTTGAAGATATATCAGTAGGGACAGAAAATGGTAGCAAACTTGCTTTTGAAATGCTACACACAATGTATGTAAAATGGACATGGGTCCAATTTATGCTGGAAAATTACCATTAGGTCTCTAAACCTCAGAAGGACGAGTCAAGTTTTCCAGGGAAAACACTTGTAGAATTTTAGCCACTTGCAAAGCTGCAATAAGCTAGGAATTAAAACATCTCAGCTGAAAGATGGCAATTTAAACCACAATCATTTGGCTCTGATCGCATGCTTTTGCCCTTAGACTCTTAACTTCATTCTAAGTGCATTCTAAAAATGTTTTTTTACTACATGGTTGCATACCTATAGGTCCAAGAGCAAAGACACAAAGGTTAAATCTCTGACAAAAAGTTCTGGATCCACATCCGAACTGTATGTATTCAAGGCACCGATTTGGAAGCCTGATTTCGCTGAGATCCATCTGTAATCCATCATGAGAGACAGGCACTTCTGCAGAGTGACTCAGGTCCTGTGTGGGCTGGAGAGTCCTCAGAGGTTGGCTGTCTTTCTTCACTAAACTACTGGGAAGCATACAATGATTGAATAGGATACACGAACTTAACTGGTGGGACTTTGGAGTTCGGTGCATCACTAGACATGTATGCGTGCAAATAAAGATTCGTTCATTTATTTTCTTTTGCTTCACTTATCTATACAATAATCTATGTCAGGTGTTAAAAA